AGAATGTAGGGCAGTTCATATTTTGATGGCATCTATAATGTGGTAATAATCACATGTTATAAACCTGTTACACAATAAATCCTGAAGTGATGTTTTAAAAAACTATATTGCAGTATTTCATAGTTTCATCAAACCTTTTCGCCCCTTCGTGAACCTTCCCAACTCGACCCACAGAGGAGATCTAGTTAGTTAGTCAGAGTGAGTGGAAACACTCGTATAGATGTGCACTGTCTTCGAGGTAAATAAAAGCAGAAAGCTGTCCTTAAGCCATTTTGAGCTGTTACAATTAGAAAAGCACAAGTGTAATAATAAAAGAAACAATGCAGACTGTCACTCTGCCTTAGTTTTGGTGAAATGAACCTCAAAAAAGTCCATATGGCTTCTTTAAAGAGCTAACTTTACTGAGAATGTTGAACATTGTTATGGTGATTTTTTTGTGATTGCAAAAACCTAAGAAGGTAGATTTATACTGACATTTGTACTGATGATACATAATGACAGCAGTGCATGTGCAGAAATTGGTGACTTCTTCACCTGAATATGAGACTATGCATAAGGAGAAGATCAAGAGAGGCTATTATGTTATTGACAGACGCCTCAGCCTCAGTATATATGGAACATGAGTCGCAGTCGGTAGATCAAAATAAGAATTCATTACAGCTGAAGAGAAAGTGGCGAGGAAGCCTGCCGTTGGAGTGTAAACTGTCATTAGTTGCGAAGCGCACAATAAGGAACAGGCAGTGCGGTACGAACTGAATAATTAAACACAGCTGGCTGCATCTCCAAACACACACTGTTCACTTCAATCAAACTCTCCTCTTACACCACAGCCAAGACGGTTAACTCATCTGTGACAAGATGACAAACACAAAGCTGACATTTCTCTCTGTCTGAGAAAACTGCCTCAGTGATAAAAAATCTTCTTCAAAACACCTCATTTACACATTTGAACACGTCTACTTAGACTCTGGATGTGTTTTATACTAAATAAACAAGGGATCTTATTAATTCAATTATACTAAAGGCAAGCAAAATGGAAACACATAAAGAGGGTGAAACGTATTTAGAGACACTTGTAAATCCAGAACTGTAAGTGCAAATACACTCACAGCATCGTGACCCACTCTACTAACACAGGAGACATTTAGAATCATTAACACGTCAGCATCAATAAACCTGGCACAAACACACACACCTTACCTTTTTAAATGGCATCCATAGATGAGTATGGACAGGTCCTGAGTAAAGCTCCTCTCTGCAGCACTGTGAGCTGTAACATGAGTGCTGGGCCATGTCCGCAACCAGATCCAACAGGTGTCCTGTGATGCCTCGTTGCATTGTGTGGAGCGCAGTGACAGATAGAACAC